CAATCTTTGGTAATATTATTACTAAACTATAGGCATTCACGCTATCTCTGAGGAACGAGCTCTGTTTATTGTGAAAAGAACAACAACAACAAAAGAACTCTTTCTTAAATTTCTTTTGAATACCCAGAACGTTCAAGTGCCATTAATGAAAATAATTAAAAGTGTTTTCTTAAGCAATTTATGTTTAAAAATGTATTTATAGTGATTTTTAACTTAAGGTATGTGTGCTCACCAGAGGACGAGACAGAGACAGTGAGAGGGAAAGTGAGAAATCAACCCCTTGGGGGAGGATGGCCATCCCACCATCCCTTCTCCTCCACTTTCCTTTTGGACACGCACACACATATGCCTGGCATGATTTTCAAGACATCAGATCTGGGACTCGAACCACAGTCAGCCACATGGGAGTCCAGTAACATAACTGCTGTACCATTTACTGGCCCCAGAAGTTTATTTTTTAAAGTACTACCATAAGACGCTACCTAAAATGCTGCAGAGATGCTCAGATACCCCCGAAGGAAGCTACAAGAAGAAGAATGAGGCTCACACCTTCTCCAGGGGCTAAAATCCTTGCATCCTACTCCTCTTCTAGCCTAAAGTAACTCAGTGGCTTTCTCTACATCTTTTCCTTCTCACTAGAATTACCTTGAGAAGGCCTCCTACAGTATAATTCCAGTTATCTGCTCCCTTTTGTTATTCCTCGCTGCTTGGCATATGCTGTTCCCTCTGCTTGAAATGCCCTTCCATGCATGTGTCTGTCAGGAGTTCCTAGTTATGGTCTCAGACCCAACTCAGGTGTCTTCTGACCATACCACCAGACATTCTCTTCTGTCATATCACTGTAGTTTGCATAAATAGCAGTCACATTATTTATTAGGCCAAATGCAATGATCGTTTTTATTATTTTTTTAGACAGATTTTTGCTATAAGACACACGTGCTCACCAGAGACACTGAGAAAGACTAGAGACAGAAAGGGAAAACTCACCCCCTGAGGGGAAGGTCATACTGCAATCCCCTCTCCATTCTCCCCTCAGGATTTTGAGCACACACACACATGCACCCAGCCTGAATTTCAAGTCACCCGTCTGGGACTCGAACCATGATCGACTATGTGAGAGTCTGACAACATAACCATTACACCATCTTCTGGCCCTGCAATTATCTTTCATGTGTTGGCAACATCTACTAGATGAAGAGTTGCTCATTATCAGGGGTTGTCGTACTCATCTTGTCCCCAGAGAGAACCTGGAGCACCTCCTGACACACAGGTGACAACCAAGATCCATTTTCCCACAAACTGCCCAACATAATTTCTTAATCATTTACTGAACGCCTCTCTTACACATCCAATAATCTTGGATCCAGAGATATTTACTCTGCACAGAAGACAGGCTGATCATTAACTGATTGGTCAATTTGGTTCTAACAAGGAGTGGGGGGAGAAAGAAGATTCCCAGAAAGTTTTAAGATCTCACAGAATCAAAACAGCATAGGAATATAAGGTTCTCTTCTGGAACATTCTATGTCCAGCTAAATATAACCTTTAGGACCAGATAGGCTGTAGAGAAATTTTCAGAAACCTAAAGCGATCATGCAGAACAGAAAGTAATAACAAGTCAACTCTGAGGAGATCGTCGCAGGACTTCCCATAGCTAATACTGAGCTCAAAGAGTAACACTGAGGATACCTAAAAACACATAAGGATGCCAAACACCACCATTGGCTGGCTGGCCTCATCTTTGGGGTTCTATTTCTGCAATATTTCAATTCTTCTTAAAGATTAAAATGTGTATGGGAGGAAAATTATAGAATGTTTATATATTTGAAATACAGATTTTATTAAAATAATTTCAAGCTAGGACCACCGGATGGCATAATGGTTGCGTTGCTGGACTCCCACATAGTCCACTGTGGTTCGAATCCTGGCCCCAGTGGCTTAAATGCATGCCAGATGTGTGGATGCATGCCTAAAGTCTCAAGATGAGAATGGAGGAGAAGGGATTGCTGTGTGGCCATCCCCCCTGCAGAGTGATTCCTCACTTTCTGTCTCTCTGTCTCTCTCTGTCTTCCTGGCAAGCGAATCCACCATATAGCAAAAACCTCTCTTCAAAAAAAAAAAATTTTTTTTAATTCCCAGTCAAATTTAAAAATTCACTAAAGCCATGACCTGAGGAAATTATACACACAAAATACATGATATAACATTCTATCCACAATGATTTTTTTTTGGAGAGGTTTTTGCTATAGGGCGCATGTACTCGCTAGAAAGACAGAGAGAGACAGAGACAGAAAGAGAGAAATCACCCCCCGGGGGGATGGCCACACTGCAATCCCTTCTCTATTCTCCTCTTGGGATCTTGGACACGCACGCATACGTGCCTGGAGTGAGTTTTAGCCACTGGGTCTGGGACTCAAACCTCGGTCGACTACATTGGGAGTCCAAGGACATAGCCATTATGCCAACTGCTGGTCTCCCCACAATGATAATTGAACTTACTGCTACAGGGCTCATCTAAATGAAAAACCTGGCATTAAGCCCCTCTCCTTTTCTCCTCTTGCCTTTTTTGCTTCTCAGTAATTTCACAAGAGCAACTTACTGAAGGGAGAAGACACCATTAAAAAACTAGTTTGACTTAGGGCTTTGTATTCCTGGAGCCAGTTATCCTCAGCTGACTTGGAGGCCACTAGTGGTCACTGGATGAACTGCAAGAAGGTGACATTTTTAAAAAAGGGAGGATGCCTTGTTCAGTTCCTTAGTGGGATGACTTAGGGGAGAATTTGGTATAGTTAGACTAGAAAATCTACTTTTAGAAAAATTAAACAGAAACCTGAAATGGAAAGGGTAACCAGGACCTCCTGGTTTAGAGTTCGTATGCTGCTCTTTTTTCCTGTCCTACCCACCTGGGACTGATGGCTGTGACTTCTGGGTTCAGAGACCCTATTCACATGGCATATGGCACTGAGCCTAATGGTGTGAAAGATATTACATGAATGCATATTTACAAAATCTGGAACTGTGGATAATATCATAATGACATTAGAGCTGCTGAGTCATTCAATTTGCAAATGATTGGCTATACCCATTCATTCTTTGTACAAATAGTGCCAGGCACTCACTCCTCTGCCAGCCTCTCCAGTTAACATCCCAGAGTGTCACTGGGGTTGTGGGCACATCTGACTGCCAAGAGAATAATGACTGGTTGTTCAAAATAATTCAGTTAAGCTACTCCCTACCTCTGCCTCCCAAACGAAATACACAAAAACAGTAATTCCCAATTTTTGCATAATTGGCCTACCTGTTCAATGTCTCTGGCAGTTTTGAGTTGAGACTGGCAACATTTTGTTCCAGGTTTCAAATCTGCATGGGCTATGCAGACATGAGTACTCAGGAGAGTGGTTTCCTGACCTTGTAGGGATGTGATAAATTGCACATTCCAAACTGATGAGCATTTTTCTGATCAATGGGTTGTGTGTCAAATACTATCACTGGTGACCTTCATTGTGAAGATGTTGCTTCCATTTTGCTTATGGAGAAACTGAGGCTCAGGGCACTAAGACTTGCCCTGGGTTCCAGAGTAAGCATGTGACAGATGACAGTCAGGGACCTGTGTCTTCTGCCTCCGGGACAGGGGATCTTTGTTCCCCTGCACTGCCTTTGAGGAGGTTCACATTTATCCTCCCTGACCCTGTAAGGGTGGCTATGCCCCTGCTCTCTCTATTCTTACTGCCCTCTTCTTCCAGTGCCTAGATACTCTTTCTCAGGGCCCAGTGTCATCCCCACCAGAGAGACACTTGGCTAGAAGACTGATTATACCAAGGTAACATGCTTGGTGGTTGATGACTTCAGCTTTTCCAATTTGACTTGCATTTTTCAAAAAGAGGGGTGTGATTCCTAGACTGGGTAGCAAAGGTGAGAATGTCAATACCTAACTATACCTTCAGGATTGAGAGAAGCTGAGTCACATGCAGTCTTATAATTCCACCCCCAACTTGGGCAGTACCCAATGGATGGTATCAGATACCTCTCTGTTTTCACAATTCAACATCAAATCATCTAGACATGATAGAGATATACTCAAACCTGCCCGTGGTGTTCTGCCTTGCTGGGTTCGTTAGCAATCTATGCTGTCCTTTTGCTACCAAGAGGATTGCATGAATCTCAGGCCTTCAAGCACTAATCTCCTTCTCATGAGGAAGATGGATCCCATGGCCACAGGGTGATGGTGTTCACCTACATCAGCAAGTGAGTGTTACCTCCTAGTACAAACCAGGACAGGACACCCTTAGGAGCGAAATTGGGTTTTGGTGCAGGAAGGCAATCGACAGGAAGGACTCTGCTAGATGCCATTCAGGGACATGAGTCCTAATGTCCCTGCCATGGCCCATGGGAATGGCATCTCCATCACCAAACCAGCACTGGCACCTGGGTCTTGTCACAGCTGACAGGACTGAGAGGAAGGTCAGTTGGCTGCTGGACCTGGAGCAGGTCCCTCAGGCTCAGGAGGAGGCAAGAGGTGGAGGAGGCAGCTCGCCTGGCCTGCTCTCCAGGCAGCTATGGAGAGCAAGAGAGACTTCCATCTCTGTTGCTGTCACAGTCCGGCACCTCTCCCCAGCTCTGAAACCCACGGCAGTGGATGAAAGAGGGAGGAGGATGCAGGAAGGAGATGCAAGCCAGACAATTCAAACAGCCACCATATTTCGGAAGTGGAATCTCCCAGCTAGAAAAAGTCTCAAAAGCAAAGAAGAGGAGGGCTGGAAGAGGCCTCAATGAATGCGGCACCCTTGTTTTGTAGAGGAAAAATAGTGGAAAGTTTACAAGGCCAGTAAGTGGCAGAACTGGGACATGGATCTGGGTCTCTTGGTGTTTTATCACTAACCAGAGGGCTTTTGAGTCTTTTCTTCAATACCAGAGACTGGCAGAAGATCTCCATTACAGGGAGCTCAGTAGAAATAGACAAGACTGACCAGTGCCTATGAGGAGGACCCACTCATTCATACCTTGCCATTTGACGCCACGGGGCTCTAGACCCTGCAGCTCCTTGGTGGGGAGCTCATCTTCAGCTGCATTGGAGTTGTTGGGCGGGACAGCTCTCCTGCCTCCAAAAGTGGTCCTGGAGGTTTCTGACATTCTCAGCTTTACAAGATCTGCAAGAAAAAAAAAAAAAAAGACAATGGAAATGGAACATGAAGAGAGTTATATTTGGACAGGGAGTCGGAAATAGACCTATCTGTGTGGTAGCACTTGAGCAACACATTCTGCGTTTTGCATAAATAAAAACTGAGAAGTGGCAGCAGGGATTAGTCTAATGATGCAGTATGGTTCCCCAAGGATCTTGGGGAGATTTTGTGTTTGTCAAAACATATGGAAAGCAGAAAAAAAAAGTGGGAGTTTATTTGAAAGAATAAAACATTTAAAAGATTTTGGAAAGTCAGCTTCTTTCTCTCTCTCTCTCTCTCACACACACACACACACACACACACACACTCTCTCTCTCTCTAAGGCAACATCTTCGTAAGAAATGTTCACCATCCTATGCAGATGCCTGTGCCCATCTTACAGAGATTTATGAGGCTTCCATCACTTTAAGAAAAAACTCAAGGCTGGCGCCATAGTACAATGATTAAGGGAGCCAGATTCCACATAACTGACCTTAGTTCGAATCCTGACTCTGAGTGTTTGAATGGCAGGGGCATGCATGTGCCTATGTGCTCAGAATCCTGACAGGAAGGAGGAATAGAGGAAAAAGGATTGTGGTGTGACCATGTCTCATTATCTCATTGGGGAGTACTTTCTTTCTTCTCTTCTCTTCTCTTCTCTTCTCTTCTCTTCCTTCTCTTCTCTTCTCTCTCTCTCTCTCTCTCTCTCTCTCTTCCTACCTCTGTCTCTCTCTCTGGTGAGTACATATACCTCTGACAATAAAAAAAAGAGAAAGAAAAAAAGGAGAAAAAGAGAAAAAGGAAAGAGAAAAAGAAAGAAAGAAAGAAAGAAAGAAAAGAAAGAAAGAAAGAAAGAAAGAAAGAAAGAAAGAAAGAAAGAGAAAGAGAAAGGAGAGAAAGAAAGCAGAAATTCATACACCCATGTCCAGAAAAGTGCCATCCTCCACAGCATTCACATTTGCAATTTAGTACAAACAACATTGACTGAGGGTCACGATGTGATCTAGGTATTGGGCACACGTCAACCACAATGCGATTTCTGCCCTGACACCTTAGGGTCTAGTGAGGTTGGAGAGGAGCCTGACGAGATTCCTAAGTAAGCTCATGAGTTTTGGAAACAGGGCTACATAGAGGAGTGTATGAAGACGGAGGTGTTGGGTAGGTGGGATGAGACCCAGTGCACTTGTAACTGGAGCTGTGAATGGATTGCTCTCCAAACCTGCTCAGTGGTGCACATCCCTGCCCCAAGCCTGCTAGCTAGCCTACTTCTCTTCTGGAGTTTGTGCCGGTGAAGAGCCAGTTTACACACCACGTAACTTTCAGTCCATGCCCAACAAGTATTTGTTGACCAACTGACCAAATAAAGAAGGACTTTGTCTCTGGCCCAAATGGAGCTTCTGTCCTTGATCACCAAAGATTATCTAGGCTTGACTCCTTGAGACGTGGCTGGTTTTAAAAACAGGCACGCCCTCCCAAGATGAAGAATTCCCATTATCCAGGCCCCTGCAAAAGACACTGGTAGCAAAACATGTAGAGTGATGGGAACCTGGCTGGGGGGATAAGGACCACTTTGTAAGGTCTGGTCCCAAAGACCAGAGTGTTTGGTCGGATAGGTGTCCGTAAACATCTACAAATATATTTACAGACGGGAGTGGAATGGGTCCTCAAGACCAGAGTGTTTGGTCGGATAGGTGTCCGTAAACATCTACAAATATATTTACAGACGGGAGTGGAATGGCAAAGAAAGAAAACGGGTTGGTGTGGACAGGGCAGGAAAAAGCCTCCTCTGGTGGAAATTAGGGAGATAAGCTGTAGGCTCATAAGGGTGGGTAGGTTTTGTGGTGAACAGCGCAAAACGGCACAGCATTTTGTCGGGAGGGAGAGCCCAGAATTGGAGAGCCCCAGGTGTTCCAGGTCAGGAGGCACTGGCAGGCCAGGCTGGGCCGGTGCAGGAGAGCAGCAGCACCCCCTGTTGAGAGATCTGGGGAGCGGAGGAGCTCAAGTTCAGCTTCCCGTCCTCAGGATTAGAGAAGGAGTGAGCACGAAGGAGAGTCAAATACAGGTTGTTGCTCTGCAGGTATTCTTAGCCCGCCATATTTTCCTAACTTTTTGTGCCCCTGCCCCAACATCTGTCTTCCTGAGAAAAAGCACCCCCTACTCCTCCGTTCCCACTCTGTGGCCTTCTTAGCAAACAGAGCCTCTAAAAGAACTACTTGGAGTATCAGAGACAGGTCCCGCACAGAAGAGGGGCTGAGGAGGTGCGGAGGTCAGGGCGAAAGCCAGATGTCTACAAGAGGCTGCTTCTGACTCCCAGCTGCTGCCTGTCTGCAGGCTAGCCTGGGAAACCCAGATGCGGAGGATGGACGCTTTCCAGGGTGCAGAACTGCCCAGGGTGCTGCAGAACTGCCCAGGGTGCTGCAGGCGCGGCCTCTTACCTGAGTGCGCTTCCTTCCAGGGGTGCCCTAGCCTAGGCTCGCTCTGGGCCTCTCGGGTACTTCCTCCCAAGGACGCAGGAAAAGCGACAACAAAGTTGGTTCTTAAATAACTTCCTAACAGCCTGCACCCTCTGCCCCCGCCCCGTGGGGCTTTCTCCTCCCCCATTCTTGACAGCTGAGCGAGTCAAGGCGTTTGGAGGACTTTCCCCTGGCTTCTGCCATTCCGCTGTTCATCCCGCCGGCGTCCCCATCTCCCCCCATATTCCTCTCACTCTCCATTTTCTATATCTGCTGCTTCTCTAGCTCTCTCTCTCCCCACGTTGCTTAGTGCTGGGAGCATCAGCCAAATGTCCCGCAGGGCAGGCAGTCCCCACCCCTCCCCGCTGGTCAGAGGGAGGGTCTTCCTCCACAAAGGAACGCTGTGGCAGTGCGGGTTGGGTCGCTGGTGTCCTCCCGCAGACAGGTCATGCAGACAGTTGTGACTATGCACAGAACAGGGGCAACAAGTCCCTGCTGTGCAAATAAGGCCGGAGGGCAGGGTCTGCATTCCTGAATCATCCTGGGAGCCACAGACTTCCTGCAGGAAGGATGCCCGGCCCCAGGGCAGATGAGTAAACAACTTTAAGGGTGCCACACAGATTAGAAAAACAGCACTTTGGTTTTTTCCTCTGAAAACCATCTCGATGTATCTTGAAAAATTAGGAAAAAAAATTCCTCCTAAAATTTTCATTTTTTTTTTCTGGAATCTTTGGATCTCTAAATACTAGAGACAGAAAGCAAGAAATAACCCCCCAGGGAGGATGGCCACACTGCAATCCTTTCTCCTCCATTTTCCTCTTGGGATTTTAGACACGCAAGAACATGCACCAGGGTGAGTTTTAAGTCGCCTGGTCTGGGACTCAAACTGCTGTCTGCCATGGGAGTCCAGCACCTTAACCACTATGCCACCTGCTGGTTCCAATTCTCCTATTTTCAATCATACCTATTCCTAACCTGTACTGTTTTCAAATTTCTGACCTTGCCACTTGATCTTTTATTTTTTTAATGTATTATTATTATTACTAGAGAGAGATTTTTGTTATAGGGTGCTGGAGAGACAGAGACAGAAAGCTGAGAAACACCCTCTGGGGAGATGGCCATGCTGCAATCACTTCTCCATTCTCCTCAGGATTTGGGGTATGCATGCACACGTGCCCAGCGTGACTTTTAAGCCGCTGAGTCCGGAACTCAAACCGCGGTCAACTATGTGGGAGTCCACCAACATAGCCATTACACCCTCTGCTGGTCCCATCACCTGATTTTTTAAATGTCATGGAGAAAAAAAAAAAAAAAAGAAATATACTGGATTTTTTCATGCCAGATCTGTGAACTTGCTTACCGTGTTGGTTTTCCTTTTTTTTTTTTTTCCTGTTACTAAGATAACAAACATCTCTTCCTGTTCCTTGTATGTTTAAACCAAGAGCCCAAGAGCTCTGGGTCCCTTTGCCTGGCCCATGTCACCTTCTTCTTAAGAGCTTTGCTGTATCTCTCAGGTCCCTTCAAGCTCCCACTCTCCAAAAGCTACATTTTAGAGGTTTTTTGCCTTAGGGCATGTGCGGTCTCCTGAGAGAAGTGAGGATAGTGAGAAATCACCTTCTCGGGGGATGGTCACGCTGCTCCTCCTGGGATCTTGGGCATGCATACGCACGTGCCCAGTGTAATTTTCAAGCCACCAGGTCTGGGACTCAAACTGCTGTCAGCCATGTGGGAATCCAGCGACGTAACCACTATGTCATCTGCTGTTCTCAGCTACTTTCATCAGTATTTAAACAATTTCAAGTCACCTTTCTTCAATAGTAATTTATTTACTTACTTATGTTTTCCAGTGGGGTACGTGTGTTCACCAGAGAAAGAGAGAGAGAAAGAATTCCCTCAGTTGGAGCATGGTCATCCTTTCTCATCCATCTCTCCATCCTGTCAGGATTCAGGGTACACATGCACATGTGTAGTGTGTTTTTTGAGCCTCCAAGGCCAGGATTTGAACAGTGGTGAGTCATGTGAGATCTGGCTTTCGATGCACTGCACTTAACCACCAAGCTACAAGGCCAGCCAAGTCTCTTTAATATTTTAAAAAACTCTTTTCCAACCCACATCACCCCAAGCTATTGCATATTTTCTCCTTCTTCATCACTGGTCTCTGCTATCTGTCTCTGTTCTACTAAAACTGTTGGCCAAGGTCTCCAATGGCCTGTGTTCAAGCTAGGGACAGGATTCAGTTCCCATCTATTTAGCCTGGGGAAGCATTGACCTCTTTGCCCACTCTCTCCTTGAAGGTCTTTTCCTTTGACCTCTGGGTCATTATATACTCTGGTTTCTCCCAGTGCAGCATCCTATCCTTGATCATCTCAGCAAATCCCATGGTTTTCAATTTCCACCTATCCATTGACCCCTCTGAAATGTGTGTCTCTAGTCATGATCTTTTCCAGAGCTGTAGACTCTCCTACTAATGGTCTGCGGGCCATCGTAACTTGGCATGTGCAGTGGCAGTTCACACTCATGTCTAAAATGAGATAATTCTCAGGACCAGCAGTTGGCCTAATGGCTATGTTGTTGGACTCCCATGTAGTAGACCACAGTTCCAGTTTTGGACCTGGTGGCTTAAACTCATGCCAGGCACGTGTGCATGCAAGAGGAGAATGGAGGAGAAGGGTTTGGATTACGGCATGGCTATCCTCCCCTGAGGAGTGATTTCTCACTTCTGTCTCTCTGTCTCTGTCTGTCTGGTGAGCATATGAGCCCTATAGCAAAAACCTGTCGAAAAGAAAAGAAGAGGGGAGGGGAGGGGAGGGGAGGAGAGGAGAGGAGAGGAGAGAGGAGAGGAGGGGGGAGGAGAGGAGAGGAGGAGAGAGGAGAGGAGGAAAGGAAAGGAAAGGAAAGGAAAGGAAAGGAAAGGAAAGGAAAGGAAAGGAAAGGAAAGGAAAGGAAAGGGAAGGAAAGGAAAAAGAAAATGAGATGATTCTCACTGAGAACTCCATCTCAGGAGTTTCCTGTCTCAATCAACGTCATCATCTTGCATCCAATTACCAACCAAGACACATGGACTTTATTCTTGACACCCTCGTCCTTCTTTCCCACAACCCTCAAACTCAATCCTACATCAACTAGTTTCTTCCACCTCTTAAATATATTTGGAATCTACCAATTTGCCGCCTTCTAATCCATTCCACACAGTAGTCAGAATGAGCTTTGCAAGGTTCTAGTCTGAAATCATATTCTTTGCACAAAGTCTTTTTATGACGACTTCCCTTTGCTTTTAGGACAAATTCCAGACAGAAACTGGCAAGGCCCATGTAACAAGATTCTGATTTATTTTCCAGCCCCATCTCTTTCGCCCTCTCTGCACATCCTACTTCCTGACCCACATACCCTGCCATTCCCACCTGTACTTGGCTCCAGCTACAGTGAATTTTATATTCTGTGCCTTCTACTAGAAACACACTCCTGTCTCCTCTCCTCCTTTCACATAAAAATGAAGACAAGAAATTTCGTGTGTGTGCACCCCAGATCTCAGCCTAAATTTCCCTGCTGTCCTGCAAGGAGTTCTCCTTGTGGTAATTCTCATGCCATGCCATAACTTTCTGCTTTCTTGGCTGCATCCTCACTAGATTACACAAAGCTCCTCCAGAGAGAGACTGCTGACCATTTTATTAGCAACTACCTGAAGTTTTTCTTTTCTGTACTCTTTGCTGAGTGCTAGAGAAAGACCACTGAGAATGTAGCCATAGTCTGGTGGGTTGGCTGGGACACATCAAGTCTGAATATCCAGGATTCTTACATGCCCTCACCTATGTGAGGTTTGGGGAAGACTCACAACCCTTGTATCCTTCAGATTAGGTTATGCAGATGCCAAGCCCTTGAGATCCCTAGTTGAGTTGTGTATTCAGGACAGCTTGCCATCCTCACAACCTCTCTACCACATTGCTACTTTTGGCCTGAGACGCACACATGGCTGTGTGAACACGCACACGCATTGGTTAGCTTCTAACTTCCCCAAACCACCAGCCCATTAGTACTATAAATGCAATGGCTTTCTTAACAGGTTACGTCAGTTCAAGAGTGTCCAAGACATCAAATCCCAGTGTACGGTTGAAGTCCATCCATTTTACAGAACATCCTTGTAGTCTTATGGTTTAGAATCAAAATAACGTTTTCTGGTCATATGATGAAATTTGAGCTGTGCAAGAAAGTGTAACTTCTGCAGAAGCAACCTGGGTGCCTACCCTTGGAGGTCCTCAAGGATGAGATTGTATCTTTTTTCTCCAAATGCCCCTTGCCTGGCATGGAGTTAGTACAGCATAGGTATTTAAAGACTGTAGCAGCCAGGCAAACCAAAACTACTTCAGGTATTTTTAGAAGAGGGTATTTAGCACAGGGGATTGGTTATACAGGTTTTAAAAGAGACAGGAAGCCAAACAGGGGAACGTGAGTCAGGTCCACAGTTAGCATTGGCAGGGAAGGTTGGTATCGCCACAGTGAGGGTTGGGGTTGTATGGCAGGAATTGGAATCATACAGGCTTGTTTAATGGGAGTCTGAGATTCAGTCATTACCAGAAACACAGTCCGAGGTCAGGAGGGAGGGACAGCTATTCTAGCTTGTTCCTTCCTTTCCCCCATGTACTCTCCCTCCATTTGCTCCCATTTGATGAACTCAGGTAAAATCAGTTGACAAATGAATCTGGGAAATAGGGTCTATAAAGTTCTCACTGCCAGTGTTGGGTTGGGGGTCCCCAAGGCCAACCTCAGGTTCCACGAGTCACTAGGTAGACTGACCCAACTCAGCCTTCCTCATGGTTATGATTTATTATGTGGAGAGGTACAGAATCAGCAAAGGAAAAAGGTGCATGGCCAAGGTCCTGGGGAAATTCTCAAGAAGTTTCCAAGGGTCTTCTCCCAGTCAAGTCCCACGGGATGTGTTTAACTCTATCAGTTGTCAATGGCGACAACACGTATGTAGTATCTGCCAGGAAAGCATACTAGAGATTTAGTGCCCAGGGTTTTTGTTTGGGATTGGTCAGGTAAACACCTTCTTCCCAGCTTATCCCCAAATTCCAGACTCCCAGGAGGTAAGTAGGTATTCATCATGAACCACAATTTCTATACAGTGAAGCCACACTCATCACTTAGGGGATGGTGGGAAAATTCCTGAAGTCCAAGTTTGCAGACATTAGCTAATGGCCAGTCTTGCCAGCAGACCTGTCTAGGGTCAGTTTTAGGTTTTCTATGTTAACTCTTTCATGTGCGCTTTTCCTACCCCCAGAGATCTCTCCCGATGCAGGAAAAGAGTGTTAAGAGGCTCTCTGGGCAAACTGTTCCAGGGCTGGCATGTCTAGCAGTGGGCTTTAATCTCAGTGTGGCCAGTCTCTCCTGTCTAGACATTGCTAACCTCAACAATGGCCTG